AGGCTTTGCCCATTGCTGGTATGACAGTTGCATCACCTGGGATGAATTAGGATTAGCCTGAGTAGCAAGCAAACTACTTTTTAAGAAATTGTTAATTCAGAATAAAGTAGATTATTTTAAGCAATCAGAGTTTCTGGCTCCCAGAGTGCAAAACTCACTTGCTATATTCTTGTCTTATTCACATAGACCATAATGCATCTTGTTCACCCCCCAAATTTTGCATAACCCACTGTTTCACATTTCTCCTTGGTATTACAGCCGTCCCAAAATGGTTGTGCAAAATTTTGGGGGGTAAACAAGGTGCATTATGGTCAATGAGAAAATGGTGAATTCAGCTGAAATGAGGTGGAATATGACTTCGAATCCAGATATATAGTTTTAGTGAGTGCTTGACTTAATTAATTTTCTCAAACGATTTAAAGAAATCACCTCGGCTTCATTACAACATCTGCAATAAAATTATCCTTCATACAACGAATGTCAAGGTTGATAGCCTAACATTTATTAGCTTCCAAGAAAATTATCAAACTGCCGAAATATATTTCTACTCATATCATGTTACTCCACTCAATAAAACAATACCTAATTATTGTGTCAACTAGCTTCTTCCAATTTTATTCCCTAACGCTACAGTTTCTACTTAGTTACGCATCTTAACTAAATAAAATACGTTTCAATAACTATAATACTTAGTATGCAGGAAGAATGTATCATGTTGTTCATTTATTATTCTTTTTTTTGCCGGAACGAAAAAAGTTTGTTGAACCTTGTAAGCGAGAGAATAATATTTTTAAAGCTTGTTTACAGGATTAACAATACTCGGCGCAGCTTTCAAAAAACTAAGCTGCCTTTCAAACTTCCAAAACCACAATTTGTAGGCCGCATACTTTCGAATTAAAGTCCATATCTGAATATCAATTAATGTTTCATTGGAAGAACTTTGAAAATATATGATCTTTTATATTCTACACAGTTGAAGCAGGCGAAACAGAACTCAGAAATACGTGCGTTGTACCGTTCACGATAGCCGAATTAGGTCAGAAATGTCTTGAGGCAGCATCCACACTAAAATAATTATGAACCCTTAAACAGCTGCATCACTGTACACAGCGTTTGAATCATGACGATATTTAATGTAATGCTTCTAAACACCTGCAGCCGTAATAAAAGATGAAAAAATTGTGAAGAATCAATATGGCAGTCTCAAAGTGCCCTTGTTCGACCTTTAACAATACCATGTTTAATAGATGCCAAGATCTCATTGGTTCCTAAGCATCAACTGATAGTACCCTCAACCTTATTGGCTCGTGCAACAAACATCTGAACATACAAAGCCACAAAGATACATACGCTCACACCACTGACATATGAGCTATTTTTTCAAAATAGCTAAAAAATGAAAGCAGGCTAAAGTGCGCTCACAATTCTTGCAGAATTTTGATCCAAAAAAGTCTAACAGCATTATCTTCCAAATCAAAAGCAAAACACATCCACGTTGAATTTCCACATTATTATTCCTAGGCACTTTCAGGAAGTCATGCAGTCGGCTACCCGAATGATTGCACTAATCCCTAAATTTTCTAATTTGAGTTTCCTCATATATACAGGAAACTCTTTAACCTAAAC